TTATTTTGATATATCACAGTGAAAGATTTATCGTCCTCTTTTTTTTTTTTTTTTTTAAAAAAAAAAAAAAAAAAAAAAAAAAAAAAAAAAAAGAACTGCCAGGCAGCACCATAAATAACTCTGAGAATCTCTGAGAATAATAAACTCCACACTCTATTGACATGTCTATCCTCTATAGCTTTAAGCCTTAACCTTAGAGCTAAGAATTAAATGAAGAATTATTTTTCTTAATTTCTACTCAGGGAAGTTTGAGGTATAGAAGAAACTGAAGAAAAGCTAGCAAACCAAACCTACTATATTCCTTTTTAGTACATACAAGCTGTTTTACAAGATGACTTAAATTATACCTGAACTTCAAATTACGTGCTTGCCCTTCTGCTTTCCTGTAGCAGTTTATACTGTAAACCATTTAGTATTATTTACTATAAAATGGTGAAGAAAGGAGATTTTTTTTTTTTTGAGACAAGGTCTTGCTATACATGTAGCTCAGCCTGACCTCAATTTGTGGCAATACTGTTGCCTTACCATTCTAAGTGATGGGATTACAGGTGTACTTTATCAGGCCAGCTAAGAAGGGATATTTTATATCTAATTCAGATGAGTAATTTCTTCGTTTTTCTTCTTTTTGAGACAGGGTCTTCCCCCGCCCCAGCTACCTGGAATTCACTATGTAGACCAGGCTGGCCTGAAACTCACAGAGATCCGCCTGCCTCCGCTTCTCAAGTGCTGGGACTAAAGGTGTGCACCACCACGCTCGGCTATGATGAGTTATTTCTTACCATCTTCATCATTCTCCTCTTCATCTTCACCCTCTGGTTGTTCTGAATTCTCCTTAGGTTTGTTTTCCTCATCTTCTTGTTTCCTTTTCTGCTCCTCTTTTTTCTTTTTTCGCTTTTCTTTTCTTTTTTCTCTTTTAGCTGCAAGAGCTTGCTTTCTACTCTCTTCTCTTGACTGCAAATAAAGTGTGTCATTTTACCAATAATGTAGATTTAAAATTCTGAATGAAATGACATTTTTGTTCATGGATATCAGTCTTGAACATATTTATAAAAGCAACAACAATAAATACCTGGATATCAACAAAATTGAATACTTTTATGATGGAAATCAGCAAAGTGAAAGGAGAACAAAACATAGCAAAATATACCCTTTTTGAGACAGGGTCCCCCTGTTGCTCTAGTTGGCCTGGAACTATGTACACCAGGCTGGCCTCAAACTCACAGAGACTCACCTGCCTCTGCCTCCCAAGTACCAGGATTAAAGACGTGTGCCACCATGCCTGGGTAGACCAGCGCTTATAGTAAACAGAGGATAACGAATGCTTTATTAAATTTCTTCTCAGATTAATTTTAAAATTACTTAGGCAGTAATGTCATTTGATAAACTGAGATTTTGCTTAAAATCTAGTCCCTCAATTACATGGTTCCAATATTTTTTTGATAGTTCAGAATCAAAAACTTAATGGTTTGAGACTCTATTAACAATTTTCTTTGAACATATTTTGTTAAGATTATGGGTCATATAGAAAACAAATTATTCTGACTTTCAACAAAGAAAATTATTTCTGTCTCTCACCTTTTCCAGATCCAATTCCTTTAGAAGAATACTTGCATTCTTATTTGCTTCTGCAGCCTGCTGATCTTTAGCCTTCACAACTGTCTCAACACACTGGTGACACTTTTTCAACAGTTCCTATAGTAAAAAGCAGAATATAAATATAAAAAATGTAAAAGGCCAAATAAAAGTAGAGCTGATAAGCAGACCAAAGTACAGAGATTAATCCTCAAACTGAAAACTGACTAAAATTAATAGGGTATTATGATTTTTTAAAGATAAGGTTTTGGCTGGGTGTGGTAATACATGCCTTTAAACCCAGCACTTGGGAGGCAGATAGATCTCTTTGAATTCCAGGTTAGCCTGAGGTATAAAGTGAGTTCTAAGCCAGGCAGGGAAACACAATAAGACCCTGTCTCAAGAAAAAGGAGTCTCTTATATAGCCCTAACTGGCCTGAAACGTGCTATATAGACCAGGCTGCCCTCAAACTTGTGGCAATCCTCCTCTGTCTGCTTCTTAAGTACTAGGCTTATAGGTGTGCACCACTATGGTAAAGGCCTCTTTCTCCACAAAATAGGTGTTTTCAGAAAATCTACTAATCAGGCTAACAAAATTTAGAACTAAACTCAAATAGTTTATCAAAATTATTATCTAATTTGCAAATGGATAAACCAAACAAGCCCTAAAACACAGAAAAGATCTATGGTTTTAAACATTTAGAACACAAAAAGATCAAGTTCTTTGGTGCTGGGAAGTGAATCCATGGCTTTGTGTTTGTTAAGCATATACTATTACTGCTGAGCTACATTCCCAGTGGGAACATATTCCTACGTAATGCCACAAAGAATGAAAATATACTTCAATAATGTAGTAACCTTACCTTATCTGTAATTGTTGCTATATATCTCATACATTCTATATCAGAAGGGAACTGATTGACTTCTTTCACCAAATACTGAACAACTTTTACATGACCCTATAAAGAGCACAACAAAAATCACATAAAAGGATCCTTTGAAATTTTATGTTTAACAACTTACTGTGAAAAATACTTTTAAATATCTTACTAAATTTATAATTTAAATTATAAAAATAAAAATATGGAAAGTGTTCAGTTTATAAACAGCAAACGTTAGGTACAATGTACTCAAGAATATACGGTAGACAAAAAGATACTTCTCTTGAATTTAATTACCTCATTTCTCACAGAAAGCAGAAAAGTATTTTATAAGGAATAGTATTTTATAGAATAAACCTAGTAAAAATAGGCAATGTGAAATGAATCCTGGTATAAAAAAGAACTTAAACATTTCTAGTTTTCAAATCATTATTTGGGTTTCACCTTGCTAAATACTGTGGTCTATCACATTCTATGAGCCCTATGATTTGAAGGGAGATAAAAACATTTTCTAAATGCCATTATCAGGAACTGAATGATAGACAATAAATTCTAAGTACATCAACTTTAATATGACCAAGCTTGTATAGTTTCCAATCCTATTAAGATTCTAAGCCGGGTGTGGTGGTGCATGCCTTTAATCCCAGCACTTGGGAGGCAGAGGCAGGTGGATCTCTGTGAGTTCAAGGCCAGCCTGGTCTACATAGTGAGTCCAGGACAGCTGGGGCTACAAGGGAGACCCTGTCTCAAAAAAAAAAAAAAAAAAAAAAAAGAGGTTCTAAAGCATCCAAAGATTAGTCTGGGGGCTGGAGATGGCTCAGTGGTTAAGAGCACTGGTTACTCTTGCAAGGACTGGATTTTGGCTCCTGGCAACCTTATGGCAGCTCATAGTCATCCCTAACTCCAGTTCCAGGAAATCTGATTCCCTCTTCTGGCATCCATGGGCATTGCACACACATAGTGCAAATAAATATGTGCAGGCAAAACACTCATAGGCATAAAATAAAAATAATTTTATTTTTAAAAAAGGAAAAAAGAATTAGTCTGTCTCATCTGGTGAAGGCACTTGCCACGGAGCTGGATGACTTGAATGTGATCCCTAGGACCCACATAGTAGAAATTGAAAACCATTTCCTGCAGATTGTCTTCTGACCTCAATAGTCATGCTGAGGCACACCCACACCCACACATATGTACAGGCACACAAAATTTAAAAAGGAAAATAATTATTTTATCTCTGGGGGAGATAAGAAAACAAAGCACTTGCCTCTAGGACAGAGAATCAATTGAAAACAGATACTGGGAGATCTTCTAGGTCTATACAAGTATTTTATAGATTGTGCACTGCATGGGGTATCATTTATACACACTGTATTATGCACTTGAGTAGAAATAAAATTTAAATTAAAAGAAAATTTTTTTAATGTCTAAAAGTATTAGGGTAGAGAGCAGTTACGAACATGTACTCTTGAGACTCAAGTTTTATCCAAGCACCCATGTCAGGAAACACAATCATTTGTAATTCCAAAACCTCTGCCTCTGCAAGCACCTTTACTCACAAGCACATATCTATACACAAATACCATACACATTGAAAAAAAAAATTAATGTCCAAATTTTTAAAAGATTTTCTTTTAAAATATCTTACACTACTGTCCTTTGAGTAACTATTTAATAATGACCATTTAGTTTATGTTTGGCACTATGATAAACTGGGAATAAACAGTTGTGAAAATGATAGAATGATTCTTAGCCCTTATGAACTTTTCATTCAGCAAAAATCATGGAAACAGTAGAAATGCTTAAATATGTAATTACAAATCCAAAGGAAAATAAAAGAAAACCAGAGGAACCGTTCTCAAACTGGGTATTAGGGGACTCTAAAGTAATTTAAAATGAGAAACAAAGGATGACTAGAATTGTGATCCAGGTTGAAGAAAAACAGAGATCACTTCAAACTAAGGAAATAAATGAGCAAAAGCTCACAAACAGTTAAAGATCTAGTGTTTTCTAGGCCAGTGACCAAAAGGTGCAGCAACAAAAAGAGGGGGCTGCTGGTGGTTGCATGAATAACTAGGCTGTGGAAGTCAACATGGACAAAATTATGTAGGGCTGGGCTTTGTAGACCATGGTCAGTACTTTATTGTCATCACTAATTATAGGAGGCAGGCATTTTTATTTAAAATTATTTATTCATTTTTATTTGTTAAGTGCACCATGTACATGCAATGCCCATGGAGGCCAGAAGGGGCATTGTTTCCCCAAAACTGGAATTATAGATGGTAGGAAGTCACCGTTTGGGTGCTAGGAAATGAAACCAGGCCCTCTGCAAGTGTTCTCTCTAGCCCCAGCGGTGATTTAAAAAAAAAAAAATTTTTTTTAACTTAAAAAATATTTTGTGTATAATTTTTTAATTTTATGTGTATGAATGTTTGACTACAAGTATGTAAGTGCACCACAAGTGTGCAATGCCTGAAGAAGCCAGAAGATGGTGATACATCCCCTGGAACTGGAGTTATGAATGGTTGTTACCTGCCATGTGGGTGCTGGGAATCAAATGTGGGTCCTCTGGAAGAACAGCAAGTGTTCTTAACTGCTGACAGCTCTCCAGCCCTGAATTTAAAGCTATCTATTTATCAAAGATTTTGTTTTATTTTTATTTATGTGCATGTGTGTATACGTGTGTGTCTATGAATCATGTGAGTGCAGTGCCACAGGAGGACAGAAGGGAGCATCAGATCCCCTGGGGCTGGAGTTACAGGTGTTTGGGCTCAGCCAGGTGGATGCTGGGAACCTAGGTCCTCTGCAAGAGCAGCCAGTGCTCTTAACTGCTGAGCCATCTCTCTAGTAACTCTCAGCAGTAATTTTTTTTTTATATGTCAATATACTTAATTCTATAGCATCAGTTTATCTTTGGCACAGGTTTCAACTTAGAATTGCTTTAAATTTTTATCATTCTTCTCCCATATCACATTACCTTGCGAAATGCTGACATAAGAGGTGTGATTTTCCGGTTGTCTGCTGCATCCACATCAGCACCTGCTTGCACTAACAATTGCACTACATCAAAATGACCACCATTGGATGCCAGCCAAAGTGGTGTGTTTCCTTTCTTGTTACGAACATCAATATGGGCTCCCCTATACATAAAAAAATGTTAATAGTCTGTTTCCTTTACGAAGTTGACATTTTATAATTATCATACAACAGTCTGTTTTTGAAAATGTTAATAAAGTACAAGTTTTACTTTTAAATACCTTAGAACATGAAAGAGATTGTAGAGGTTCTACATATTAATAGAAAAGCACCCACCTGTTAATCAGGAGCTCACAAAATTTATAGTGACCTTTGTCTGCTGCTATGGTTAAAGCAGTATCTCTTGAGGAAGGCACAGGTGGAGCATTGACATCTGCTCCTTTATCAAGGAGAACTCTGCCAACCTCTGCATATCCTCCAGAAGCGGCTTCCATCAAGGGGGTAAGACCAGTCTGTTTAAATCAATGAACAATGCAATGAAATAATGTAATTTCTTAAAAAGCCTAAAGTAATTTGTGTTTAAGTAGATTCTATTTCTGATTTTCTCTCATAAAAGAACTAAGCAATATTGTTTTATATTTTACTAAATTAGCTTGGGGGCAGCTCATATAATCCCAACACTTGGGAGACAGAGGCAGGAAAGTCAAAAGTTCAAAGAAATCCCTAGCCTAGACTACATGACCTCCTGTCTCAACCAACTCCACCAGTAAGTAAGTGAATAAATACATTTTATTAAATAACAAGCAAAAAATTGTTAGATTCTGTTAGACCAGAATGCATTCACTTGTCACCTATTATCTTAGGCAAAAAGAAAAACAAAGCCAGGCATGGAGACACACACATGAATCCCAGCACTCTGGATGCAGAGGCAAGATTTGAATTGAAGGCAGTTTGACTTACATAGAATGAGCTTGCTCTTGTAATCTCCCTGCCCCCTCTCTTTCTCTCCCTTCATTTCCACAGGGTCTCACTATGAAATTCAGACTGGTCTCGAACACAAAATTCTGTCCCAGCTTCTACAGAGCTGGGATTATAGAGGTATGCCATATTTGGGTTCACTTTTTGTCAAAGACACTTCTTTTTCTTTTTTAAATTTTTATTTATTATTATTTTTTAAATTTTATGTGTATGTGTGTATTGCCTGCATGTAGATAAGTGTACCCATGTTGTGCAATGCCCGTGGAGGACAGAAGAGGCCATCAGATCCCCTGGAACTGGAGTTATGGACAGTTGTTAGCTGCCATGTGGGTGCTGGGATTCAATTCTGGGTCTTCTGCAAGAACAACCAGCGTTCTTAACCATTAAGCCATCTCTCCAGCCCCAAAGACACTTCTTAAACCAGGTATGGTAGCACACACCTCTAATCCAAGCACTTGGTCTATAATATATATATCCTGAAACAAAAGAAAATTGACACTACCTACTGTCACTATTCCTTAAACAGTATGTTCTTTCTAGGACTTTTAATAGGTAAATGGACTACAATTAATACTTGTAATAGTAAAGGATAAACTGTGTAGTAAAATAGACTCATTAGTCTTTATGTTATAAACTCTGAGGGAAAACTTATACCTCATTTCTTAGATTAAAATAATCTTCTATTAAATGTTCTTTTCTTCTTAGAGGAGAAATGTCATCAATGATCTTAGCCAGCTGTGAACCTTGTGAGCTACAATACTAACCTGCATGGAAAGATGGACCCACTATAGTGGCATGGCTGTCATGGGGTAACCAACCACTTCCTGATGGGATTTGAGGCCCACTCCACAAGAGGAATATATGCCTGGTACCATAAACCTGATCAAAAGCCCATGGCTGGGAGGTGTAGGTGATAGGGGTGAAGCTACTACTACTGTTGCTTTACTAAATGGACATGGTGTCAATCTGCTTTCTAAATATTTAGGTTTATACCCACAGATTAATGCTGCTCTCAGCCCTGGTCAGAAAAGCTTCTGTTGCAGTGGCTGGTGGTTAATATTGAGAATAAATGACTGTAGAGTGTGCAAGTCCTAAATAGGACATCTATAACACTCCAAAGCTCGGGGACCATCATAGAAGAGGGGGCAGAAGAATCAAAGAGCAAGAGGACAAGAAGGACTGTTGTAAAATGCTATCTTCTGTATTGACATGAGCATTGTGTCCATGAACTCAAAGCAGCAATGGCTACCTGCACAAGACTGGGCCCATCAGCATTCCATATAAGGCCCCCATCTCTGAGAGGAACTATAGGCAGTTAGAGGTTGCTAAAGGAAGGGTCCTATTCCTATTGCTCAGTAGTATAGCCAATGGTAAGGTGCCTTTGCTCAAGTAACTCCTACCTATGCTCATGAAAGCAACCCCAATTAAAAGAAGTGGACCCACTCCCATACACAACATAAAATTAGGAGGGGTGGCCTGGTGAGATGGATTGGTGGGTAAAGGCACTTGAAGCCAAGCTGATTTTTGGCCAAGCTTTGATGATCTGAACTTGATTCCCAGGACCTATCTACTTAGTGAAAGGGAAAAACCAACTCCTGTAAGTTGTCCTCTGAATATCACATATTTACTGTGGCACACATACACATACACAAATAAGTAAATGTAAAGGACAAAAATTTTTTTTTAATATTTTATTTATTATTTATATTTTGTGTATATGTATACTGTCTGCATGTATGTGAGTACACCCATGTTGTGCAATGCTGTGGAGGTCAGGAGAGGGCTTCAAATTCCCCTGGAACTGGAACTAAGGACAGTTCATAGTGGGCATGTGGGTGCTGGGAACTGAGGGCATGTGGGTGCTGGGAATTGAACCCAGGTCCTCTGCAAGAGCAGTCAGTGCTCTTAACTGCTAAGCCATCTGTCCAGCCCCAGAAAAAAAATTTTTAAAGGAAGGGACTGTCCTAGTTTGTTTCTCCATTGCTGTGACAAAACACTCTGACCAATACCAACTTGGGGAGGAAAGGGTTTATTTAGTTTACATATCCCACGTCACAGTTCATCCAGGAGCCCAAGGTAGGAACTCAGGGCAGGAACCTGGAGGCAGAAGCTGGAGCACAGGCCATGGAGGAACGCTGCTTACTGGCTTGCTCCCCTGGCCCCTACTCAGCCTGCTTTCTTATGCAACACAGGCCCGTGGCACTACCCACAGTGGGCTGGGCCCTCCCACATCACTCAACAATCAAGAAGATGCCCTATGGACACGGCCACAGGCCAGTCCAATGAAGGCAATTCCCCAACTGAAGCTCCCTCAACCCAGGTGTGTCAAGTTGACACTAAAGCTATCGAGCACAGGGACTTATTAGGAGAAAGAGGTTCAGTGAGAGCAGGGAGGGGATAACAGGACAATGTGGGAAATATGATCAAGACACATCATGTATATTTGTGAAACTACAAAAAAAATTATCCCCTAATTTCTTTGTAGAATCCACCAGTGAAACTATTGGTTTGGGACCATTGTTTTATTGTTTGATTGCTGATTCAATATCCTACTAATTATTGTTTGGTTTAAATTTTCTTTTCTCTTAAGCATTTTTATTTGTTTATTTAGTGTGTATTTGTGTAGCCACACACATGCATGTGGAGGTTATAAGATAACTTGAAGGAGTCAGTTCTTTCCTTCCATTATGTCGGTTCTAGGGATCAAATTTAGGTTGTCAGGCCTGGAAGCAAGTTATACCTAACCAAGATGGCTATCTTGCCAGCCTCAAAACATTTTATTTGTTTGAGATAGGTTTTCAAGTTACTGCATTAAAATTTAAGAATAGTAATTGGCAGAATTCAGAGAAATAGATGAAATTTCCATTCAGATTTTTCCAATCTTAAATGACATCATATTGCCTGTCATCTGATGTAAAGACTTCCACCTAGTTACATTTTTCTAGTGTTCTAAGTACCTAATAGTTCAAAGAAAAGGAATTCAAAATATTTATGTGCTGTTATTTTCTAAATTGAAGCAGTCATAAATCTGTCTGAATTTGATTTAGTGTCCCAATTTTACAATCTACAAACTAGCTTTTGCTTAGGATTTTTAATGATGGTAAGTACATGGCTCTTTAAAAGGGATTCTTTTTTGGGGGGTATCAGAGAGGGCATGCAACAGGGTCCAACTATGTAGCTCTGGCTGGCCTGGAATTTGCTATATTGACCAGACTGGCCTCTACCTCATAGAGCTCTACCTGCCTCTGCCTCCTGAGTGCTGAGATTAAAGGCATGCACTGCCATTGCAAAAAGGATTCTTTAAATGTTAAAAGTATGTGTCACTGCCATTGTATAACATAATTCTCCAAATCTGCATTAGGGAAAAACTGAAATGCCATGTTGTTTCTACTAAAAATGTATCTGAAACTGGGCGTGGTAGTGCATGCCTTTAATCCTAGCACTCCCTAATCTGGGAGGCAGAGGCAAGAGGATCTCCGTGAGTTCAAGGCCAGCCTGGTCTACATATTGAGTTCCAGGTCAGCTGGGACTACAGGGAGATTGTTTGTTTTGTTTTGTTTTGAAATGTATCTGAAAAAATGGGTAAGTTATAAAACACTTACCTTTGCCCTATGTTCAACATTGGCTTTCCGGTCCAAGAGCAAACTCACTACTTCTGCTCGGCCCTGGAAGCAGGCCAGGGTGAGAGCTGTGTTCCGGTTGGTCTCTATCTGGGCATTAATATCTGAACCCATATCAAGTAGCAGTTTCACCGCAGGGACATGTCCATTCATTGCAGCCAACATCAGTGGAGAAATACCTAGTTTACTCCCAGTTCTAAGGAAGAAATGTGTTCAGAATGTTAGTATGTTGCCTGTCTTTTTAAAAAAAGCATTAAAGATGAAAATGTTGGTAAAAAAGATATTTCTATTACTGATGAATAGATCTCTTTAGACCAATAATGATAGCAAAATAGATTCATCCAAAATACAATTCCTACGCATGGGTTATAAATTTGCAATGATAAACAGCAAAGTACTTTTTGAAATGATATCTTTTTTAAAAAACAACATTACCAAAATAAGAAAGGGTTACTTCTAAGAACATTACAGGAATAATTTTCAGCTTTGCTACTGTAGTACTGTCTTACATCGAGGATTACACTTAATTACAAAGTAATAACTTAGTAACTATGAATAATAAAATAACAGGTGATACCTTGAATTAATTTCTGCCCCAGCATTAAGCAAAATCTTAATGATGTTTACGTATCCTCCAGATGCAGCTAGACTCAATGGTGTATAATCAGACACATTCCTATGTTCTTTATTTGCACCTCGAGCCAGCAGCAAATCTACCACCTACAAAGTAAAACAAGGGCAGAGAAACCCTGTTTACATCTAGAGCTCAATTTATAAAGAAGGAGACACAAAGAAATAGAATCTACAATTTCCTTTTCTAAATATCTGACATTTTAATAGGCCCCAAATATTAAAATGTTAGCACGAAATAAATGGATTAAAATTTTCTTTTTGTGGGTTGCTGTTTGTTTTAAAGACAGAGTCTTGCTATATGGCCTGGAACTTGCAGCAATTCTTCTGCCTCAGCCTCCAAAGTTCTGGGATTAGAAGCATGTATCACCATGCCCAGCTGGATTGAATTTCATATCAAGAAATTCAAAACTGTGAGCTTGTGTGGCAGTTCATGCTATGATCCCAGTTTTCAGAGAACTGAGGCAGGAGGATTGCTTCAATTTCAAGTCTAGCCTTCACTACATAAGAGACTCTGCCTCAAAAAACCAGATAAATGGGGCTGGAGAGATGGTTCAGTGGTTAAGTGGCTGCTCTTGCATAGGGACTTGGGTTCCATTCCTAGCATCCACATGGCATCTAACAATCATCTGTAACTTTGGTTCCAGGGTATCCAAGGCCCTCATCTGGCCTTCACAGGCATTGTATGGAACAGGTGCATGCAGGCAAACCAGTCATGCAAAAAAATTTAAAAAAAAAATTTTTTTTTAACATTTTATGTGTATGCATGTATTGCCTGTATGTAGGTAAGTGTACCCATGTCGTGCAATGCCCACAGAGGACAGAAGAGGCTGTTGGATCCCCTGGAACTGGAATTACAGACAGTTGTTAGCTGCCATGTGGGTGTTGGGATTTGAACTTGGGTCTTCTGCAAGAACAGCCAGTGTTCTTAACTGCTGAGTCATTGCTCCAGTTGTGTGCCCCCCCTGCCCCCGGCCCACAAAAATTTTTTTTTAAACCCAGAAAAATAACAAAAGAAATTCAGAACTTTGTGTTGGGTGTGGTGGCACAGCCCTGTAATCCCTGTGTTTGGAAGGTAGAAGCAGGAAGATTGGGAATTCAAAGCCAGCCTCAGCTATACTGAGTTGGAGGCCAGCCTGGGGTACATAAGATCATATCCTAAAAACCCAGGGCCAGGAAGGGAAAAGAAAAGCAAAGCTTTGAAATCCCAATTATATTGAAACAACAAGATGTACCCTTTCCATTTGTCATTTAGTGAACAATGAATTTGCACTTCATACATGTTAGAATTATAGTTGACTGAATGCCAATAATTTCAGAAATAAAGACAATTGCTATTGTCTCTATGGACAAGAAACAGATTTCTTTAAAAGGCATGTCCTATTTCCATTATACTTAACAGAAGTGCCCCAATCATTGTAAAGTAGAGAACATGTCAAATGCATGTGTATTATATGTAGTTTAAAAAGCTATTCACGGGGCTGGAGAGATCGTTCATTCAGTGCCTAAGAGTGCCTACTGCCCTTCCAAAAGACCCAAGTTCGGTTCCCATTGCAACATACAACTGCCTGTAACCCCAGCTTCAGGATCTGCTCCCTCTGGCCTCCTTGGGCACTTATCATATACATACATAGAGACTTCTCCTTCCCCTATAAATACACATAATTATTTTTTAAAATCTTTAAAAATATTAATCATATATACATTTAAAAATATAAGCAAGATGTTTACAAAATGAAAATTATATTAACATACCTCCTGACGTCCGCCAGAGCATGCCAGTGAAAGTGGTGTATCCTTAGTTCGCTCAGACTGTGCCTCTATATCGCCACCTTTATCCAAAAGGATTTCAACAACTCCAACATGCCCCGCTGTTGCCGCGAGGATCAGTGGGGTAAAACCTAAATTAGAAAATAAAAATTTCTAACAAATTTGTGAATTTTATTTACTTTAACACCACTGTTTAAAATTCTCTATTATTTTAATTTAAAAGATTTCAAGGGTAGACACTGATTAACAATTTAGCACTAATCTGCTCTAAATCTTAATTTGTTAATGATAAAAACATATAAATACTTGGCATAAAGGAAATGTTAAATCAATGCAAACTATTAAAGTTAACACTCACATACAAGCTACATCAGGATTAAGAGAAAGGCATTTACAATTTCTTTTGTTTTGTTTTTTGAGCCTAAGGCCTGAAGCATGCAAAGGTGAAGAGTTCTACCACTGATCTCACCCCTGCCCTACAACTCCATCATCTTCATTACTGATTTATATTTTACTTTTGAAAAATCTTTAGAGAATTATTTGGTTCTACAGATGAATAAATCTGGGAAACTGCATATTTATTTTATCACTGAGAATTAAGAATTACTTATTCATAGTGAAAAATCCATAACTTTTTTGGTGTAAATATTAGATTTTATTTGTGACTGATATTTCCTACCTTTTTTGTCTCTGTGCTCAATTTTAGCATCTCGTGCAATGAGAACAGATACAAGTTCTTCATGACCACCTGCACAAGCTAGTGTTAAGGCTGTGTCATGATTGCTCTCAGTCTAAAAGAAGAAAAAAAAAATTATATTTATATATATATATATATGGATTATCAATTGAAAATATTTTTCCCACGAATGTGCAGTAATTTTCCTTTCCAAAGTAAATTAGTGTGTACAGAAAAAGTTTGTAAGGAATCTACTCACATGTGCATCAATGTCAACTGAAGGATATACAGGGGGCATGGACTGGGAAACGACATTGCTTGGAGTCTGGGAACAGGATTCAGGAGTAAGACATTCTGTGGTCTGGGAAGGATTGATTGAACCATTGGGCACTCTGCTACTCACGGCTGTAAAACAATTCATATTACTAAATTCCATTTAAATTAGTATTGTTATTTATATATAGAAAAACATACAAAACAGAAATTTCATATGAGTAATATACTATAGTGAAGTCACAGCTTTGTAATCATAAGGACCTATATTGGATCCCAGTTCTAGCAATGACTTTCTGAACTCACGCACTCTTATTTAAATCATCTGAGCCTAAATTTTCCTTATATGTAGAATGAGGATCAGAATAGTTCCTGCCTTGGAAGGTTATTGGAAAGACCACTTGAGATAATACATGTAACTTAACACAATTCCTAATAAATATTGTACTGTCAATAAGAATAATATAATTTCTAATATTTTTTAAATAGGAGTTTTTAGCTGGGATATGGTGGTACATACTTATAATCCTAGTACTCAGAAGTCCGAGGCAAGAGGATTCAAGGTCAGACTGGGGACTCTTTCTCTATCTCAAAATAAATAATTAATTTTAAAATATGAGTTTTCATATTTTAAATTTGTAAAAAAAAAAAAGTAGTTAGATGAAAATATCCCATAGACAATGAAAAGTGTGTGTGTGGGGGAACAAGTTAGAATATTTCTCATATAAACAGCAGGAATATGTGTTCTTAAAAATCAATATTTACTTTAAAATTTTGGTAATATCAATTTCTCTAAGTCACACTGTTTTTTTTAAATGAACAATAAAAATTTATATTTGAGATCTCAAAATTTGGTGTTTGAAATTGGGCATGGTGGTGCACTCTTGCAATCCTAGCACTTGGGAGATAGAGGAAGGAAGATAAGGAATTCAAGGTCATCCCTAGATACAGAGTAAATTCAAGGCCAGCCTGGGCTTCAAGAGACCCTATCTCAAAAAACAAAAAACAAAACAATATTTTATGAGTATGAGTGTATTGCCTGCATGTATGTGAGTACACCTGTGTTGTATAATGTTGCGGAGGCAGAAGAGGGCTTTGGATTCCCCTGGAACTGGAGTTAAGGACGGTTCGTAGCCACCATGTGGGTGCTGGGAATTAAACCTGGGTCCTCTGCAAGAACAGTCAGTGCTCTTAACCACTGAGCCCCCTGAATATTTCTTATGTTTCATAGAGGACAGAGTTTGACTCACAAAGGGTAAGTAGAGCCTATTTTAAAAGGATGCTATTAGTAGTCTGTGATATATTTAAAGCACTTATCCTAGTACCTGGTAAGTGCTCAAAAAATATAACCAACATTTACAAGACTTTTAGTACTATTATTCACTGTATTGAAAAATAAAAACATTACTAATCAAGAAAGAAAAAACTCAGAAAAAAAAGCATACAATCTTACTAATGTAGAAAAACAAAGCTTCCATGATGGGAATAAACTTAGTTTTACTCAGATTAAAAGTCAAAGTCACGCCGGGCATGGTGGCTCATGCCTTTAATCCCAGCACTCAGGAAGGAGAGGCAGGTGGAGCTCTGTTAGTTCAAGACCAGCCTGTTCTACAGAGTTCAAGGCCAGCCTGGTCTACATAGTGAGTTTCAGGACAGCTGGGGCTACAGGGAGACCCTGTCTCAAAAAGACCGGAAAAAAAAAAAAAAAAAAGTCAAAGTCACACTGTATTTTAAGGAAAATATAAGTGAAAATATGAGCATTTTACTATTTTCTCTCTAGAAATTTTTTTGGAGGGGTCTTTTTGAGACAGGGTTTCCCTGTAACCCCAGCTGGCCTGGAACTCACTATGTAGAACAGGATGTCCCTAATTGCACAGAAATCCACCTGCCTTTGCCTCCTGAGTGCTGGGACTAAAGAAAGGCATGCATCACCACCCACAACCTCTCTAGAATTTTTTAATATGTCTATTCAAGGATACTATTCACAACAAATATGAAGGACTCAGTTTAGTGAGTTACTAGTTTTTTTTTAAAGCTTTTTCTTTTTTGAGATAGTCTCATGTAGCCAGGCTAGCCTCAAACTTAGTATGTAGCCAAGGCTGGCCTTGACCTCCTGGATTCTTGCTTCCACACCTTCCAAACGCTGGGATTCCAGGCATGTGCTACCACTCCCAACTCAATTTAACAGTATAAATAACTTAGCAAAATTTAAGATGCTTGGAAATGTTTCTAGATGAGCTAGCCCGCTTCCCCCCCCCCCAATATATAAATCCATCTTGGCAATATAAATTGCAACAACTTTAGTCAGGACACAAAATATTTTAAGTTTCCAGTTATAAATAGGTATGATTATATTATATCCTTTTGTTTCATCTAAAGAATATGCACAATGGAAACAAACCTTCAAAACTTTTTCATTCAATGAAATAAAAGCAGATAATGCTCTATTACATCTCAAACAACACCTACAAATAAAAAAACCCCAACATTGATATGTAACACCTTGCTGACAGACTTTAACAGTAGTGAGTCTTAAAAGTATTAATATATACCTTAGTAAAGAATTATCATTGCTATCAGTTTATTCATATCACCTCTTTATTACTTTTGAAAAGCAAGACATTTTTAATTTTTAAAAAACAGTTGATTAGAGGCCGGGCATGGCAGTGCACGCCTTTAGTCCCAGCACTCAAGAGGCAGAGGCAAGCGGATCCCTTGAGTTCAAGGCCAGCCTGGTCTACATAGTGCGTTCCAAGCTGAGGCTACAGGGAGACCCTGTCTCAAAAAGACAAAAAAATAATAAACAAATAAATAAGTAAATAAATAAATAAAGTTGATTAGACTGGAAAGCTAGAATGTGATGCTATGAAAGATCCTTTACAGAACTGACTTTAAAAAACAAACAAAAACTCCTGTGTATTTAGCAGCTTGGTTACCAAAAACACTGTACATTTTTGCACTATATTATCCTAGAACTTTTTTCTCCTTGTAATAATGACAATCAGAACCATTCCATGGAAAGTGCCTTTAATAGGATTAGTTACAAATGAAAGTTATAAAAGTAAGGAAAAAGGCATGAGATTTAAAAGGTACATATAGAATAAAGGTTGTATCAAAAGAACATTATACTTTAGATCTATGACATTCTTATAAATTATAAATCATTTCCTATCTGTGAACAAAATGTCTCTGAAAGTAACAAAAGCAGACAACTATCATACACAAAAAATGAATATACAATTCAAATTAAACTTTTACACTATTCAAAAATGGGATGATAGAAGAACCATGTATAATATTTTAACCTGACTTTTTATGAAACTGAACAAAGTTTTATAGGTAATATGGATACTAGATAAACAAACTAAAATATGAGGTTTTATTGCTAGCAGGTATGGTTCTACCCACCTGTAAATCTTAGTACTTATTGCTAGTGGGTATGGTGGTACCCAGTTGTAAATCCTAGTACTTGGGAGATAAAAGTAGGAGGATTAGGATTCTAAGGCTAGCCTGGGCTACATGAGATCCTGTCTCAAAAAAACCTGAGGATGGATGGTAATACAGGTCTATAATTCAGCTATTTGGAAGGTTGAGGCAGGAGCATCACAAATTCAAGTCCTGCCTAGCTACTGAGTGAATTCAAGGACAGTCTGAGCAACTTACTGAGATCCTGTCTCAAAATCTAAAAAAAAAAAAAAGGGGTGGGAGCATGCTGAGGATATAGCTTAGTGGTAGAATACTTGCCTAACATACATGAAGCCCTGGGTTAAATGCCTAGTACCTCAACAAAACAATACACTGGACATTTTATCACTATAATGCTAGAGTCATAGTAACAGTAAAACAGGTTTATTTAAGTTAAAGCCTAAAAATAATAGTGGAAATTACTCTCATTAAACATGTCTTATCGTAGTCCTTCAAAAGAGGATTTCCCAATTATTTTTTATTCTTAAACTTAGAGTGATCACTGCAATGTCACTTAAAGCAAATGCATTAAATTGTAATTTAAGAGCATGCATTAAGGTGTTAAAGTGCTAACAACAGTAATGTACTAGTCATAAAATTATATTAAAATATATAGATCAAATCTTAATATAAAAATAAGAAAACTGATATTTACTAGAACTTAAAAGTCCAAGAAATAACAGTATCCAAGATAAACAGACATTTTAGTGAAAAACAGACACACGCACATTGTATCTAAGTTTTTTTTTTTTTTTTTGGTCTTTTTGAGACAGGGTCTCCCTTGTAGCCCCAGTCGGCCTACAACTTACTATGTAGACCAGGCTGGCCTCAAACTCACAGAGATCCACCTGCCTCTGCCTCCTGAATGCTGGGAGTAAAGGTGTATGCCACCACGTCCAGCTTGGATCTAAGGTTCTTAAATATGGCTGAAATGAGTTTGAATTTTTGCACTAACTAGAACCCCCACATCCCCCCCCATCTTTCTCTTTCTGCAGAGGGAATGTAGATTTATTAAGGAAAATCGAGAAAGAACTCCTGAGAGTAGGAAAATTTGCAAGGGAGGAACACCCTCTACTTCATTTCTCTAAGCTTTGGTTTTTCAAAAGAAAACTGGAGGCAGGGGAAGAATGTATTTTATAGGAGGCATAAAAATAGTCCCTGAGACAGTAGTTGCACAGATAATTGGTGTGGCACATGATAATTGCTCCATAAATGTAAATAAATTGATAAAGACTTTTTTTTTTTGGTCTTTTTGAGACAGGGTCTCCTTGTAGCCCCAGCTGTCCTGGAACTCACTATGTAGACCAGGCTGGCCTCAAACTCACAAAGATCCACCTGCCTCTGCCTCCCAAGTGCTAGGATTAAAGGCGTGCACCACCACGCCCAGCAATTGATAAAGACTTTTAACCAATCCTCTTTATATATTAAGAATGAAACTTTAATTGTAGACTCGCTCAATGATCAAAACTATTTGGAATTACTTTACATTACCCTAAATTCCTAACTTCTGCTTTAAAAACAAAAATCTAAGTGTATTCTTTTTTTCTTTGAGTAGGGGTCTCATAGAGCCCAGGCCTTGAACTTGTTATGCAGATGAGGATGACTTTGAACTCCTGATAATCCTGCTTCCACTTCCCAAGTGGTAGGATTACAGGTGTGTGTCAACATGGCCTGCCCAAGTGGTTTAATTTTTTAAAATTTCAAGAACATAGATAAACAGCTATTAAATGTAATAAAAAATTATATAAAATTAGAAATAAAAGTTCTAATAACTGCTCACACGAGCATACCATGTACAGTTCATATTAATTTGATAAATGTTTTAACTTTTGAGAATCACTTGCTACTAAGTCCAACACTTTCAGAAGAGAAGGACTTGAAGAATCATGTTCCTAATTAAGGCTAAACATTCTGTATAGGACTATATAGAATACGATACATATAAGATTACGTGCTAAAAGGCTGAGCAAGCTAATCAAGTCATGACATTGGTAAACTATGTAAATAACCAATTCATTAGTTATCATCAAAATATTTTGAGTAGAACAGCAATAAAGAAAAAGCACTCCTAAAGAGGACATTTATTACTGCTATATATATTCTCTAAAATAAAACTTTAACCTTATTGATACACTGAAGTGTTATAATTATAGAATTTCGTATTAACAATGTCTAATTTCTTTCACCATCAATTAAGAAAATTAGATTTGGGAAAAAAAATCATTTTAAATGAGACAGGTAATCAAATTAAAGAAAACACAATTACTGCCATGTAGTTCAAAACACATAGCTTTCATAAAATGAAAAAAAAATTATTTTTATTATTTTTGACACAGGTCTCCCAGTAGTCCCAGCTGGTCTGAACTCTCCATATAGACCAGGCTGATCTGCCTGCCTCTACCTCCCAAGGGCTGGGATTAAAAGTGTGTGTCACCATGCCTGGCTCATAAAAGGAATATTTTTATATGAAGATGAGTGGTTAATTTAAAAGTTAAAATTTATTATTTGAAATGTGATCAATATTTGATGTATTATATATTACATTTTACCAGCTCACATTAGCATGCAAAATTAAAAGATGTTTTCTAAGCTAATTTTTAAAAGTGTCATGTGGGCTCTAAAAAAGACCATTTCCATTTAAAAAAATGCTTCAGTGAAATAAACTGTCCCTTTAAGAACTATCTGTAAAAATTAGAATAAAGTTAACATTTACAAGTTTCCTTTAGAGCTGTTTCTACATTATTTTTTAAAAAGGTTCTAATTATACTGCTCAATAATACAGATTATGTATAAATAGTACTTAATTAGGAATATTAAAATGCTAGTTACAGAGCCCTAATCTTTAAAATGTTATTTCTAGGTCACTAATTTTGTCATTATAATTCATAATCATACTTTACAGTCCAATTTTTATTTTTAATCCATATAATAAATTAGAACTATAAATGAACTATGAGAGTTTACTAATAATTTGTAACAACTTTCAACACTAACAACATAAAGTCAATTTGACTTAAGAAGCTCTACAAGTCAAAAATATAAAAATTTAAAGAAGAACCTAATTCCTTAAAGTATTTCCAAGCATTTGGATTTTAAGAAAACTAAGCCATTCCACTTTTGCACAATATTATCTATTACATGTCAAAAGCCTCAAAGGCCAGATCACATCTATACCCAATGAAAGTCAAACATATACCCAATAAAATTCTTGATTTAAGTAATCTTATTCCACATTTTTAAAGATTCAGCAAAGATTAGAAAGACTAAAGGCTCACAAAAGAAGAAAGGAAACTGGGATAGTATAATTGGGGTGGGGAGGGAAGAAGAATATGACAAGAGGAAACAGACAACAGTAAGGAAAAAATGTTGCAATCAAGAGACAGAGGACTGGCCTGCCTTTGAATATCACTCCAGCTACATCTTAGTTCTTGGTCTTCATCCACTGTCAACAGCCATTCTGGCTGCAATTCTGAACTGGGCTCTCATGGAGGTGATACATTCACCAGCCATCTTTAGGAAGGTAAATGATTAATTGCACTGTTTTCCCACTGCTGCAAGGACAATGAAAGGGAAAGTAAACTTGTGCACCTCATTTCATATGTAGTTGTAATTTTCCACACAACAATAAAAACAAAAACATACACTTTAAGATTATCAGGCCTTTCCTTTTTTTTTCTGTGTGTATGTGCATACATGTTTAAGTATGAATGCATGCACTTAGTGTCTGTATGCTTGTTCAAGTTAATACAAAAATTTCAATCTCCAAACCATCAAGTAATGATGACTTAAATGTACAATACAATGCTCAGATATAGAGATAATTAAACTGCTCTAATAAAAAAGCAGTGTGATTTAAAATTTTGATTTCCAAATTATGAAAATCACCAGCAAGAAAATTAAATGAATAGTCTTACATGAGTATTTCTAAACCCTAATAAGGAAATTCTATTCTGAGAGCATCTATCCAAGAAATAACATAGGGTGGCTTTGATACCAAATGTCTAAAATAAAGGATTACGGTAGCTTTGTTTCTTTGCCTTTGAATGTGGTTAAAAAAAAGAAAGGGGGTAACATAATTATGTGTTAGTGTTACTGAGCTTAGTTAAATTCACTTCCAAAAACATCTCAAGGATTGGGTAATTTTACAAAGACAGTTCTAACATAGCAAAGTACCAGGTCTTGTGTTTTTGGAGGGGCATTTAAAGAAGTTGAGCACACAGATTAGAGAGAAATTAATTCAGACATATTTCTTAACCCACCTGCTATCAGGTCATCAAGAGTGTCGGTAAGCGTCTGGGCTGGAGTTGCAACCATTAGTCCATCTGGCTCTTGAACTAACAGCCCCTGATCATGTCCAGTAATAGTAATCTGAGGCTGTCCTACCATCTGCTGATTACCTGATACTTTCTGAAGTTCAAGAGAATTTGTCCCATTAGAACCTAAGTCACTGGAAAAATTACACTGTGGAGATGATAAAGGCTGGACTGGGACAAAATCAATTTGTTCTGCCGATGGTGGAGATTGTTGCTCATCATCAACATCATGATCTTTAAATAAGATTGTATCAACCTGGGGTAATTCTGAAAAGTGATCCTCTGGGAGACTACCATCTTCTTCCCCTTCTGGGAAGACTCCTCTATGAAAGCACTGCTGCTGTAGAGACACTGTGTCTTTCTGACCTTTGGTTTCCAAGTATTCTTTGGTAAATTGCTGCTGTGTTTTCATCTGCAACTGCCTTTCCACTTTCTGCAGTTCTTTCAGTATTTTCTTCTTCTTCTGGACTTGTTCTTCTCTGTTCTTTTTAAGTTCTTCTATCTTATCTTTGTTCAGAGGTTCACCTTGAATTAACTCCAATGACTTAAGCTGTGCTTTTTCAATAGCACTAATTCTTTGTCCCAGTTCATTCAGCTTGCCTTCAGTCTCCTCTACTATGCACTCCAAAGGCTGGTATGGGTGAAAAGATGGCAGTAGGTCCTGATCTGCTACCTGCAGGGAACTGGACTTCTGCTTGGATGTACCTAAGCACATGAAAAATGTTTGAAAAAGTGCCATGCTAAAAAAAAAAAAAAAAAGAAAAAAAAAAAAAAAAGAAAAACAAAAGAAAAACAAAAGAAAGGAAAAAAGAAAGAAAAAAAGAAAGAAAAAAACAAAGGATATCCCAAAACAAAAACAAAAAAAATCCCACAAAAAACAGCCCCCCCTCCCATACACACAGACCTCCCTCCCTAAACCATTATAAATAATGCTATGCAATGATTCAAATGTCAGAAGACTATTAGGTAGATTAAGTCTGTACTCTTTCATCTGTTTCATATGGCATAAACTGGGACGTTGCCAATTTAAAAGCTGAATTTCCAAAAATCTACTTTTAAGAATGGGAATATTTTGGGAATTATGACAAACAAGGAGAAAAAGAACCTCAGAATTTTTTTGATTTGGTTGGACTTTCTAAGAGTCAAATCTAGACAGTCATGGTAGCAAACAACTTAGTCCCAGCACTTGAGAGGCAGAGACAGGTGGATCTCTATGAGACTGAGGCCAGCCTAGTCTACATATCAAACTTCAGGCCAGCTGGAGCTACAGAAAGACTCACAAAGAAGACAATCAAATCTAAGCCAGAATCAAAACAGTGATGAGAACAATATTAATAGTAGACTGTCCTTTTAGAAAAACTGTTTTTGTAGCAGTAAATATGAAAGTAAAGTTTATTCCAAGAAACCAAATCATATGGCTCAAAGTTGGCAAACTACTTCTATTCTTATATAAAAATACAATGTGAAATCAGTTTTCTCAAGACCTGTCTTCTTTAGAGGCATGGCAGCACATGCCTGTAATGCCAACACTCAGAGGAGGAGGCAGAAGAATCAGGAATTCATACACATTCTCAGCTACACAGTTGAGTTTGAGGCCACCCTGAGATACATGAAATCCAGTCTCAATAAACCAAAAAGACATGCCTATAAAATTATCCATTAAGTAAGTCTTTAACATCTAAACACCATATTAACTAGAAAGAATAATTTACTAAGTTCAAGTAAACTCTTCAAGCAAAGTCTACATTTGAGAGAAACAATGAATGCTACTAGAAGAAAATTAGATATTCATATAGGATTACTCATACTGAGAAGACTTTTTTTTTTTTTAAAAAAGGAAACAGCTGGGCGTGGTGGCGCATGCCTTTAAACCCAGCATTTGGGAGGCAGAGGCAGGCGGATCTCTGTGAGTTCAAAGCCTGCCTGGCCTACACAATGAGTTCTAGGACAGCTGGGGCTACAGAGAGAACCTGTCTCAAAAACACACACACACAAAATTATTCTTTGAGAATGTCTTACAGTGTATTTTGAACATATCCCAATTCCTCCCAGATCCACCCCCATGTCCCTACCCACCCACCATCACCCCCCCCCACACAATCAAGTCCAGTATATATTGCCCAAATATTCTTGAGTATGGAATTTACCCTGGACTGTAGTTGACCTACCAGAGGTTACATCCTTCAAAGATAGCTCCTTAGCTTAGGGAGAGAGTTTGTGCAGACTGACCGCCCACCCCCCCGGGCTCCCCCCCCCCCCCCCCCCCCGGGCTGGGATTTTGGCTGGCTTGAGCAGGTCTTGTGCATGTTGTCACAACTACTGTGAGTTCATGTGTGCAACTGGCCTGCAATGTCTGGAAAACATTGTTTCCTTGTGGTCATTCACCACCTCTGGCCCTTATGGCTTATGGCTCTTAAAATCTTTCTTCCCCTCTTCCACAAGATCCCCGAGTCTTGAGGGGAAGAGTGTGATTAGCCCTCCCATTTAGGGCTGAGCACTCTGCAGTCTCTTATTCTTTGCTCATTGACCAACTGTGGGTCTCTGTGTTAACCCAGCTTTTTTTTTTTCAATGTGTGTTCTAGGGATTAGACTCAGATCTTCATGCTTATAAAGTAAACCCTTTACTGACCCCCAATATGCAAGGTTACATTTTCAAGTTCATTAGGTTACCCTTCCCTGGAGTCAAAGGCCATTCAGGCAGTGGTTCTCAGCTTAGAGTAAAGTGTAATACAGCCAAATCTTTGAGCGAGCTCATATAGTTGAAAACCATTCATTATTACTCTTTTCTACATTTTGAAGTGGAGCATGGTCTCACAGCTTTGTGATGGCAACTACTGAAAGTAAAGCATGGCAGTTGGCCTTACAGTGTGAGTTAAAAAAAATTGAATATTGAGTATGATGGCAGACACCTGTAATTCCAGCACTCAGGAGGCAGATGCAGGTGAATCTCTGTGAGATCCAGGCCAGCCTGGTCTACATATCCAATTCCAGTGGCTACGGGGAGACCCTGTTTCAAAACAAAAACAATAGCAACAACAACAAAAGAAAATTGAAGAACATTATTCAGATCATTGTTTTCTAGAACCAAGGTGTTAGGCTGGCAGTGATGAGCTAAGCGCCCCTTCTTGTTTTTTACTGAGGGACCATTCATTTCATAAGCACAGTAAGTGCTGGAGATGCCCTATAGACAAGTGTCTGATTTTGAAGTGTGTTCCTTGCTAGCCATTGAACAATGTGAAATCAGGGTTGAAACTGGAAATAATGCCAGCACGTGGAGCAAGGAACAGTATTTTAGTGGAGAACTGGAATGAGGGCCTTGTTTTGGCTCTTCAGCATTCATTCCAAGTACCTAATACTGTCTTTGGTTCTTTGAAAAAATCATAGATGTATTCTAGGCTTTTTTTTTTCCCTTCTTTCTTTCTTTCTTTCTTTCTTTCTTTCTTTCTTTCTTTCTTTCTTTCTTTCAGTTCTCCCTCTGTTTCTATCTTTTTGAATAATTTAAGTAGTTTTGGTTAGAGGTCTTCAAATGTCTGGCAGAATTCTGTTGTGACTCCATCTGGGCCTGGGCTTTTTTTTTTTTTTTTTTTTTGAATAGGGTCTAACTTTGTAGCCCTGGTTGGCCTAGAACTTGCTATGTAGACCAGGCTGGTCTCTAACTCACAGAGCTCCACCTGCCTCTGCCTCCCAAGTACTAGGCTTGAAGGTGTGTGCCACCACACTCGGCTCCAGGTTTATTTTCATTTTTAATTATATGTATTGTGCATGTCTTTGTGTGGGTATATGAATGAGTACAGGTGCCCAAGGAAGCCAGAAGAAGGTATTGGATCTTCTGGAACTGGAGTTAGAGCCCCTTGTGAGCCACCTGACTGGGGTGCTGAGGACTGAATTCTGGTCCTCTGTAAGTGCAATATGAGCTCTTAACCATTGAACCAACTCTCCAGCCTCTCTGGGCTTGTTTGCTTATTTATTTATTTATTTATTTATTTATTTATTTATTTATTTGTCTTTT